GAAAGAAGCATGTGTGTGCTTTTGGTTCGTTTGCGCGGGTGTTGCGTCAATTGAAGGCAGAAGACAGTTGTCAGGTTGATGGCGTCGAGGCAGTATCAGCTCCTGCCGTGGTAGGTAGTCGTTGTGGTGTGCCTGTGTGCTGCGTGCTTATAGCGCAGAGGGGAAGAGAGAGAGAGAGAGAGAGAGAGAGAGAGAGAGAGAGAGAGAAAGAGAGAGAGAGAGAGCCCCGTGTGTTGTGTGCTTATAGCGCGGAGGGGAAGGGGTGAGAGAGGGGAAGAGAGAGGGAGAGAGAGCACAGCACTACCGATGTCCCGATGAGAAGAAATAAAGGAAAGAGTAAAGGAAAGAGGGACGTCTTTCTCAGCGCCTGTAAAGAATCGGGTTTCCAGGCAGCTTGGGGACTTGGGGGGTGGGGACGGCGTTGTTTCCTTCCACGACGCCAGAGAAAGGCAGTCTATCTTTGCCATTCGAGCAGGCACCACTAAGGCACCACTAACGCTAGGTAGGCAGGTACCTGGCAAGGAAAAAGCTCTGCTGAGCAAGGTGGCTCCGTCTGTCGAACGGGGTTCTACTCCTGGGGCTAGCAGAAGCTCGCCCGGGATTCTTATGCCATGGCAGCACGACCAGGGCCGACAGCCAGACCTTTCGTTGTATGGGTGTCAGGGAAACAGCGTGGTTGGAGGATGTCTCACGCGGACATGTTCCACACGGGCGGGCGATGCGGTGCGAACAACACTCTCGAGGTCAGTGGCAGCATGCCGGGCCAGCGTGTATGCCATCGTGAAGCATCGGAGAGCGACAGCCCCAGGCCCAACTCACCTCTGCCTGCCGCTTGCCCCCTCGGGCTACCTGAGCACCTACGTCAAGTAGGTACCTCGGGAATGACACCGAACGATGGATCCCCCGCGTCCTGATGATGCATTCGGTTCCCCCGAAAGGCACTTCATGGCCGGTGTCTGTGGTATGCGACGCGATCGTCCACTCGGCAAGAGACGCCCTGTTGCCGCGCTCCGACCCGCAGTGTGGCGCTCGTGAAAATAAGGTGAGCAAGGTAGGAAATCGCCGTCCTTCCCGGTACGCACCCAGCATCTCGACCCCGGTTGGCTCGACCGAATTACTGGTAGAACCCTCTCCCCCTACGTCTCCCCCCTCTTGTCCCCCCCCCCCTTCTTGTCCCCCCCTTGCCTACGGTACCTTCCATGCTCCGTGTGCCGTGTTGCTTCTCGGCCCCGCCCCCGGTTTCAAGCCGATTCGCCGGCGCTGGCCATGTGGCGGAAAGCATGGACGAATGACTCGTCCGCTCCGTCACTATAGTTCGGGCGCCTGACAACCGTTGCACTCGGGTGTGCCACAAGGGAGCCACAACCCCTTTGATCTTGGTACATGAAGGGCTTGGACTTGGAGGTCACATGTCACATAGGCGGGACGGCCTCTGTAGCCCCGCGGTCAGCACTTTGAGCGTCCCTCTTGCGGCAAAAGGCTTGGCCTCGACCTGTGGGGATGGCGAGGACTGTCCGATTCTTGCATCG